CGAGCAGGATGCAGCTACGTGGGTCGTAAATCTCAGCATCCATGGCCTAATTAGTAAAGCTCTTTTTCATCCCCGCATCGACGCTGTCTGATTCATGAGAGCTTTAAAGAAGACTTTTCCACACGGGTTTGATAATTGATCGTGCGGTTTCCAGAGAAGAGGCGCGTTTTTTGTGGCGGGCGGGCAGGCGGGGGTGGGGGGGTGATGATGCAAGCAGTTTTGGCGGGTGCCAGAAACTCGCTCGTCTCCGAACATCAAAAGGAAAGACGGAAGGTTCTGGCCGCTCGCCCGCACCGCTCATGTCATACCGAGGACCCCTCTGTGAGTCTGTGGCTGCCCTCAGAGTGCCTGTGGCCTGTGTGTTAAAAAACTAGAGCTTTGATTTGCCCAGGGCTAGACTGGAGGAAGACTTTATGTGGGCGTCCTGCTGCTGTTTCTGGCAGGTTGGGAGGCCCTTGATGTGAGGTGTCACCTGTGATGGAAAGTGTGACCATTGAGCAAAGCTCAGCCTTTTTTTCTTGCTGTGTTAGTGAATAAAGGTCTCATTAATAGGCATTTTAGCCTGAGATCTTGACCTTGAAGAGATCAGTGCAGCCAAAAATAAAAATTCATTCATTTATTCAACCTCATGTTGTTCCAAAACCTGACTGACTTTGTTCTGCAGAACACAAAGAAGGATATTTTAATAAATGTTTTTGTTTTAAGTGTATTCAATACCATAGCACAGGTGCTATGTTCAGTTTCAGTGAAAAAAAGCAGATATTTAAACAACTGAACATTTAAATGTAGTCAGAAATGCACCTTTTGCTTTGTTGCGTAAAATAAATAGGGGACCATTTACACTCTAACTATCTATCTATCTCTATTATATATGCAATTATATTGTATAGTATAATATATACAGGTGCATCTCAATAAATTAGAATGTCGTGGAAAAGTTCATTTCAGTAATTCAACTCAAATTGTGAAACTCGTGTATTTTACATATTTTACTTCAATTTGACATCATTTAACCCTCACTTACAGTTCACATTTATTTTATTTTATTTATTTGCTTTATTCTAATACTTTAAGAGTGTTGTTAAATGTAATCTTTGGCCAACTGAAAAATCAATACATTTTTTATACTGTACATTATAATGTTGTGAGGTCTTTATTTATACAAAATAGTAACATTTTAATATTGACAGTTTGGGCAAAACATTAAAATAATTATTACATTTGGCCTGATATATCAGACAGAATTTTAATATCCTTGCATGCCTAACATAACACATTTTTTTGATCCTGCAAGTTTATTTTCAACCACTGATTTAAAGGCCTCAACATGTACTAGCACGAGTCACTGTTGACCGTCAAAATAGTATCAAGCGAGCTTGTTTTCACCAGCTGCCCACACAGACACCACTGCGCTTACCCAGACAGCACCGAAAACACCGCATGTACTGCGGCCGTGTGATGACATTTCAACCGCTTTTCTGTGACGCAAACCCTGTTCGACTCTCAAAGCCTGCTTGTCATCCTCTCTGAAGCCGTTAGACCTCCGGTAAGTCGGGCAGTGCAGTCAGCTGGGTTCAGTGGGGCGCAGGGCGGAATTGAGGTGAGGTTAGGTACTTTAGGATGGAAAATATAAAGCACAGCTGTGGACTTTGGCCATCTTAGGAGCTGGGCCGTTTGCCCGCCTGCGGCAAGAGGACAAGTGCCATGTTCCAGAGGCCAGTGAAATTCCAACCACATCCAACCAGAGCTGAAGTATATTGTGCAACTGGGCACCACAGTTAATGCAATGCAAATAGCTGCGTGCGAAAGAAACCTCCCTGCGAGGAGCATGCATGAGCCATCATCACCATGTCTAATAAGGGTAAGCTGTGTCATGTCAATGGAATTATAAACAAAAAAAAATAAGATACAGTTCCATTCAAAAGTCTTATTTTGTTTCTTATTTTTCATAAAAAATGTTTAGCATTCAGAATATTTGAGTGTTGCAAATTCCATCAAAAATATCTTAATTTGTGTTCCGAAGATGAACGAAGGTCTTACGGGTTTGAAACAAAATGAGGGTGAGTAATTAATGACAGAATTTTCATTTTTGGGTGAACTAACCCTTTAAGTACTTTTATTTGTAGTTTGTGTGGAAGAATGGGCCAAAATCACACCTGAGCAATGCATATGACTAGTTTCTCCATACAGGAGGTGTCTTGAAGCTGTCATTAACAACAACGGCTTTTGTACAAAGTAATAAATAAATTTCAGTAAGTGTGTTCAATACTTTTCCCCTAGGTCATTCCATTTTATTACACAGAACTTTCTTTTTATTAGAACTTAGAACTTGTTTTGTTTTCTCTGTATGTATGGATTACTTGGGTTGTTACTGACATCTGGTGAAAATTTCATGTCAATAGCACCTTTAGAAATATATTTACTGAGAAAAATGGTGACGTGTTCAATACTTATTTTACCCACTGTGTATATGTATATATTTAAAGTAAACTTACTGCAGGAAATCTTTATTAACAGACCTCTGCCATTTAAATGGAATCAAGCCTGTAACGTCAACTACACCTACACTGGAGCAAAGAGCACCAAGACTCCCGCCCCACCAAGACCAGTTATATATCCAATTTCTCCAGCTGCAGTTCAGAAAGAGAAATCTGTCGTCTTAATATAACCTCACAGCTGTGAGCCCAGAAGGAATGCAGGGCCTGGCCGCAGTCATAAACTCAAGTCAGAATATCCTCTGCCTAATCAATGTGCGTGTCGTCGTCTTCCGAAGTGAGCTTTGATGACCCTTACAAAGTCCGATCGCCATTGCCAAGACAAACTGAATCGGAGGGTGTGTGCATGTGCATATGCATGGATGTGTGTGTGTGTGTCTTACAGACAGAATGGCTGGGATTGTTTTCACGCCATGCACACACCCCAGTCATGTTGTCATACAACCTCTGCTGAGCTCCAGGCCGGCGAGTCCAACGGCTGTCTGTGCAACAGGCAATCTTGGTTTAGGAATCGCAATTTCGCCACATAATGGGCCGTTAAAACCGCACTCGTTCCATGAATCATGCTGAATCTAGTTTTGTTTCTTGGAATTTAAATGTTTCTGCTCTTCCCATGATGGCAACTGGTGTTTTGGGGGAGTTTGGACTATATTTAACATACAGTAGCGTTGCTTCATCATCTTTGGGTTGTTTGCCATGAATGTTTTAATGGATTGTTCGCACAAAAATTACAATTGTCATTTCATTTCCACAGCCTTATGTCATTCCAAAGCCTTATGGCTTTTTTTTTTCCAGTTGTGAAACACAAAAGAAGACTGTTTGCAAAATGTTTACACTGCTCTCTTTGATACATAGTCACTGAATAGTGACCAGGTCCTGCCGGGACCAATGAAAACGCCATAAAGACATCATAAATGTAGTCCATACACTATTTTAAAAGTCTTTTTAAGTCATGGAATAGCTTTAATTGAACATTAAGTCACCAGTCATTGATAATCTTGCTTGAAATGTCTTGGTCACCATTCACTTTTTATTGAATGGGAAAAAGAGCAAGAACATTGTTTTTTTTTTATGTTCCAGGGGTTAACTTTTATTTAAAATAGCATATTTCAGCACTTTCATTTTCTTATATGAATGTTGTATTTTAAAATTAAGGGGTAAATTTACTATCAGTTTGCGCCAGCGATAACCCTCATTTGGCGTAAAAAAAAAAAACTGTCAGGATTGCACACGCAGTGTGGAAATTAGTGCCGATTCCGAAAAGACGTAGAAACAGTTATTTTGCGACTTACCTTATTGAATATGCATTTGTAGGAGTTTCCCTTTTGATCGGTAAATTTATGGGAGGAGAGTATTTAAATTAATCACTCAACGCAATTTACGAAGAATTGCGCTCGTCAGTTCACTGGTATTTGCGGCATTATTTAACGCCCCAAAAAAAGCATGTCTTAAAGCAGGCGGTAATTTGCGCTGCTCTTGGTAGATTGCGCTGGTCATTATGGAAATGAGATGATGCACCTTGTCAGTAAATCACCTGCAGAATTTTCCCCTCCCATCGGTGCTTTTACAAAATTGCGCTCTAATGCTAATGTGCCCTGTTTAGTAAATCTGGCCCTTAGTCTTGGAAACTTTACACCATACCATTCTTAATTTATTTTTGCTCATTTTCACGTGTCCTTTATTTTATAGACTTTATAGACAGACCTAGACTTCTGAATCTTAAACCATGAAAATCTGTAATAAAAATGTGTTTTGCAACTATGATAATCTAAAGAAAGAGTCAACGTATTAAAACCATTTTAATATTTTTTGCGTGAAAATTATTTTTGGCAATTTTCGCACATGAAAATGAGACGCGAAGAAAATAAAGAACAATTATGGTAAATGTTGCTTGTGAACAGAAGTTTTTGTGCAATTTCCAAAGTCGAGCTGATTTTTTTGTTGTAAATGAAGCAATGATTATTGGAATCCATCTTTACAAGGAAATACCATTTCAGTCTTTCTACTTGAAAATGTCATGTTTAATTCAATGTTACTTGCCATTTCTTTGTAATTATTTATGACATTTACTTGCAACTTCTGAGAGTAAATAGTTTCAAAGTAAATCCTCCACCATTTTTTTTTTTTTTTTCAGTATAGCAAAGATTTGTTTAAAATGTCATTTCCGTCACAGAATTCTGTTAAACGCAATACGTAATATGTGTTATGGTGGACACTGTGATGGGAATTGTCATTTTTCATAAAAAATAACTGACAAAAATTCTCATGTGTTGCCATGTATCCATTGTTATTAGAAAAAATAAACTAGTGAAAATGTGAAAGGTTAGTTTTAAGTGGTTTTATTTTCCAGGTCCAGAGGGACAAAAGTGCACATAGCTGAAAAAACTACTTATAAATAATAAAGGATCGGAAAAACTCATGATGAATAACTAATGACAGAACTTTCATTTTTGGCTGAACTATTCTTGCGGGAACTCACATGCTCTTGTTTTTGTGTTTTTGAAGGACGGTGGTGATGCCAATTGCGAACGAGTTCGCTCCAGACGTGGTGCTGGTTTCTTCAGGCTTCGACGCTGTGGAGGGGCATCTGCCACCTCTGGGAGGATACAAGCTCACGGCCAAATGTAAGTGCTCTGCGTTCCCCTGTACTTAGGAAGATTCTCGTGGGATGAAGCAGTTGGGAGCAAAAGGATGAGTCACTGACATTGAAGTCAGCCTTTGTCCCACTCCTCTCTCTCACTCGTTTCTCATGTCTAAAAGCTTTCATTTCAGTCAAATTTATCATGTGCTAATACCACAAAAACAAGAGACCACACTCTTGTGTGCAAAGTCTAATCCCAGAAGGGAGGGATTGTACCACTCATCCTTTCTCATACTTCCAGATCCCTGATGTTTTTCCTTCTTTGTTCCCATGTGTGCGTAATATCAAGATGGCATTCCGGGCCTGTTTCTAAATCAAACATTTAATGATTGTTCAGCACTTGTTGTTGCGGTCCAAAAGGCTGCTTTTATCCTGTTCGAGGGATCATAAGGCCTGCTCTTATAGATTACATCTCCTGGTGAAAGCTGTCCATATGTCAGTGCTGGAAACGCAAAGTAGAAACACTGTTCTTTCAAAACATTTGCCCAGAGTCTAAAGAAAGACAGGTTGTCCGGTCTGAATTTGCACCATTCTTGCATCTAAAAGTAACTTTAAATCAGATTCAGTCTTCTGCTGATCTAAGAATGGCTCGATGATCTGTGACGTCAATTGTTTTTCATTTATCTGCTTATCTTAACAAGTCACCCATTAAATAATTCTGATGTTATTTAGTCAGCCTCATGTCGTTCCTAACCTCTTGTTCTGTTTTTGTTTTGTTTAATATGACGGTTCATAGTGACCAAATGTCATATGAGCTCTTAAAAGAACAAAAAAAAAAAATCATAAAAATAGGCTGCGTTATTTGTATGCCATATTTGTATTGCCATATTTGCCATATTGCCAAGTCATATGACAGCTGTGTAAGAAACTGGATGAAATGCATTTGTTATTCGCTGAATATGAGGCCTTAAGATAGGTTTATTATAGTTAACCAAAACTAAAACCATAAGTTTAATATAAAATATTTTCTGAAAATAAAATAATCATTAACTGAAATAAAATATTTAAAACAAAAATGTATTTCAGCCAATTGCCAAGGCAACATTTTTCATTTTTATTTACTTTAACTTGAAGTACTAAAGTAACTAAGACTAAAAAAACTAAAACTATGAAATAAAATAGATATATTTAAAAAAATAATAATAATAATAAATAAATCTAATCTTATTCAAAACATTAACCAAATCTATAGTATATGAATGATTCTTTAAATAATTATCATTTAAAAAAATTTTTTTCTCACACAAATGTATTATGACCACAAAGAGAATTGAGATGTAGTGCATTTTTATGATGCTTTTTAGAGTAGACGTGGTCAACATTAAATGTCGTTGTGTGGAAAAGAGCTGCGTAAACATTCTCTAAATTTCTCCTTTTGTGCATCAATACAAAATAAAAGTTTAAAACGACACCAGGATGCAAAAATTATAACACGTTTTCCATGTTGGGAGTACTGTTCCTTTAAAGCGCATTATGTGCATAACTATTCAGAGGAGCTGCAGTTCTGGTGCAGTTATTGTTGTATCAGGTTCTCAGGGGTTGAGCTGAGCTGGACGGTTCCTTCTCTTACATGTTGAAGAACGTCTCATTCGTGCCAGTGAAGAATTAAAACAAAATAAAATCATCTAGGATAGCCTTGAATGTGAATCTCTGGGGAAGGGAGGTATAGTCGGATGCCTCTATTCAAACAAAGATCAAAAGATGCCTGTGGCCAAAATACTAAGCCACATTTATTAAAATTAAACCTGCCTCATATTATACGTTTAGGCCCAGTAAATCCAGAGTGCCGTCTTTTTAACAGAGAGAATGTGATGTAATACTGTCTTATTTTCTCCCTCTCCCTCTCTCCATTTTTTTCTTCATCTCTGGTTCCTTTGATCAAAGGCCAGCCACCGGTTTCTGAGCGTGCTCTATAACCCCCTCTTGTATTTCCTGTCTCCCCCTTTGGCAGGTTTCGGCTACCTGACCAAGCAGCTGATGGGACTGGCCGGCGGCCGGCTGGTGCTCGCGCTGGAGGGGGGTCACGACCTCACCGCCATTTGCGATGCCTCTGAAGCATGTGTTTCTGCTTTGCTTGGAAACGAGGTAAGAGCTGACTGGAGATCAGACGGGGAGGGTGACTCAGGGATGGACAGGGCTTTATGAATGGAGGAAAAGATGAAGGGATTTTACAGAGTGACAACATCCTCCAGTGTTCGACAATATGGATTTTTTTCATTCAGATTTGACTTGCCCTGAAGCACTGAACAGAACTGGAAAAATAGTTACAATTTCCTCTCTTTCATTGTTTGGATAGTCAGATAGTCCTGCCTCAGACTTATGTTATTAAATGATGCTGTTTTATGCAACAGAAATTACAAATTTAACCTGTCTACACTTTCCTTTCTTGTAAAAAGTTTTATTTTAATTGTATTGTTTTTAAAATAAATTATATAAAATAAAATATTTTATAATTTATTTTAAAAATACATTTACAAAAATTATATAATCACACACATAATTTAGTAATAAAAATTAGTAATAATAATTTTAAATAATGTATTTAGTCCGATTGATAGTATTAGTGCTGTCAAACGATTAATCGTGATTAATCGCTTCCAAAATAAACGTTTTTGTTTACATAATATATGTGTGTACTGTGTATATTTATTATGTATATACAAATACTCACACATACAATAGATATTTTGAAAATATTTACATGTATATATTTATATAATTTATATTATATATAAATATATTTAATATATAAACATAACACATTTTTCTTAAATATATATGTGCATGTGTGTGGATTTATAATAAATGTACACACATATTATGTAAACAAATGTAAACGATTAATCGTTTGACAGCACTACTTTATATAGAATTAATTTTTATAGAAAAGTGGAGTTTATTATTTGTAATATTTAACATTTAAGATTTGTAGGAGACAAATTTAAAGCAAAAAAAATGTTTTAAGCAAATTATTTTTATAAGTTAAATATTCGATTTTAAGCATTCGTGCGCAATCTCCTGTGCAACAGTTGTTCTAAGCTAGATATAATTTTGAGTCAGGTGGACATCTTTTTACAATGCCTCGCACCATGAATTTTGTGTTTTTAAGGCAGTGCGCCAAGTTATAAATAGTTTAAGTTTTACAAAAGGATCTCGAGAACTATTGTGTGTCATCTACCTGGCTTTGAGTGCAAACAACATGTGTATGACACCCTCATTTTTTTGCCCAGTAATTCTGCGAGCTGATTTAAGAGTGATGATCCATCAGGTGAACTGAACCTCTGTTTCGTCAAGCTCTGTCCTCTTTCCTCCCACCCAGCTTTTGTCTAGGGCAGTGGTCCTCGAATCTGGCTCGCGAGATCCACTTTCCTGCAGAGTTTAGCTCTACCCAAACTCTGCAGGAAAGTGGATCACGCGAGCCAGTTTTGAGGATCACTGGTCTAGGGTGTCACAGACTAGATGTTTGTCAGGATGTGTAGTTAGCAGCACTCCCTTTGTGCTGGCCAGCCACCAAGGTTCAGCTGACATGGTCATAATCCAGCCTGAGGATGGGAGGGAAAGAATAGCAGACGCTTCACTGTCCACACACACACAAACAAGACAAATGAAGCTGTAGGGCGTAATTTATCTGCTTGTCTCTGTGTCAGAGGAAGAATCATTTCTTTTATGTTCCCATCTCTCATCTTCACTGCTATTCTTTCTATTCATCTTCTTTCATTCAGAGCCTTCCTTTCTGTTTCTAAATCAAATATGCTCTCATTTTGGCTCTGCCTTGCTGTCTGAACAGCACACTAAATCTAAATGAACCTCATAAGTGAGCGTTTTGGAACAGTCTACATAGGCAGCAGCTTATTGCATCCATCCTCAGTAGAGCTTGACATTAGCTAAGATAAATGTGCAATACTCTAACCAGCAAAAAATACTATAGTACAACCAAATATTAGGCCTGTAATGCTCACTAGGTTTTTGAATCTCCATCTCTGTACTTTCTTGGAGATTTTGAGTTGAGTTTGAGTGTCTCTTTCACCCCTCCTCTCCCCATATGGCAAAAACATGCATACATATGTGTGTGTGTGTGTGTGTGTGTGTGTGTGTGTGTGTGTGTGTGTACTGGTATATATGGTTTATGAGGACACATATATATATATATATATATATATATATATAAAAACAGTATAAAAAATACTGCTAATATGCTTATAAAATATTTGTATAAATAAATATATTTTCAGCTTTTCAGCATTTTTGTTACTTATATTTCCTTATATATTTTTGGCCATTTATAAATATATTTTTGATATACATATATTTACATATATATATTAATATTATTGTTATTACTAATTACAGGAAGGTACTAACTAAAAATAATAACTAAACTCCACTTTGTAAAAAATAATCTGTAAAAAAAATTATATATTTTTTTTTTCGTTACTATAATTAATATTTTTAGTGCTCATATTTTCTCATATATTTTGGCCATTTTTAAATTGTATTTCCAAAATACATATATTTACATTATAATGCATTTACAAAAAATGCATTATAAGATTAGAAACATATTTTCTTGATCCTTGAAGTACATTTTGTAATATTGGTATTTGAAAGTTAAAATATATTCCCTTAACCCACACTATTTAAAACAGATATTATTAACAGATACTGATCTTTTATGTATAATATTTAAAGTTAAGCATGCTGAAGTATAAATTATTATCTCCCGTCATTCTTTTGTTCATTTGTTCATACCTTTTCACTAGAAACAGTTATAATTTAGTTTCCAATGACCATTTTCTATCGTCTCTGTGACCCCTTATTTTTAGTTCTTCTGCTATGTAGTGATAGATTCCTCATGATATGAGCTACTCAAAGAAATTCTGATTAAAGTAAATAGAATTAGAAATAGAGTAGAGGAGATCCAAAAATAAGAATGGATTACAGGTCTGTAACAGGGACCTGCTGCAGCTCCATGTGTGAAGTGGCTTTTGTTTAGTTTTATACTTGTATTTAATATGGTTTCTTCACAAGAATTAATACAGTCCTCATATTGACTTTCCTAACATAGAGTGGTCAGTCATATTTAGTTGATCTGTTTGACAGAATTGCATACCAAAACAGTTTTAAGTGAAGTGACAGGCCTTGAGTGTGTTCGTGAGAGTTCTTAGAGTTTTCTTCAACTGAACAAGGAGAGGAGAACCTGTTGAAACCATCCACACAGACACAGTGAGCCTCTAAAACATGTTCAGTAGCAAAAGTGGTCCCAGCCTGTGTGGATCCCGACATTTACACTTGTGCTGAGTTTCTACGGCTTCGCTTTGCTGACCGCTGGGAGTTCGTGTGCAGAGCAGGACTCTTACGGTCAGATGAGAGGACAGGCCTCACTCCTGCTGTTACTGAAGCTCTAGAGACAAGCCTGTAAATACATTCCTGGAACAGTAAAAGTGAGCTGACTCTACTCCATTTCTGAGGATGAGAGGAAAATAAACAGGATAATTAGACAGCATGATGGAGCTTGTGTGCTCTCTGTGTCTTCTGCACCAGGAATTAGGCGTATGTTGATTAGCTCTGGCACTAGTTGACATATTTGGTATACCACAGTAATTTCAACTGTTGGAGTACAGAAAAAAAGTAATATTATAGCAATTTAAAGAAGTTATCTATTTAAATATATTTTATTTAAAAAGTAATGTATTGCTGTGATGCAAAGCAGAATTTTCAGCAAATATTATTCATCTAAATAATTTTCCACAAAAAAACACTATTTTTATATCTAATCCCTGCCCTATACTGGCAGCCAGACAAAAAAAAAACTTTAATATTTTTCTTATTTATATTAACATGTACTGTTTATTCAAGCCGGAGCTCACCAGGTTTGATAACGTCATATTTTTTCATTGCTTCCAGTATAACTATAATTACAGTAATTTATTTTAACTTTTTATTTGTTACCAACTGTTGAGTTATTATTATTATTATTATTATCACTTTGTCAGCTCATTATTCAAATAATAAAGCAATATTTGAATATTTAGTATAGTATAACCTTTCTATTATTATCATTATTTGTATTTATATATTATATTAATAATGTATATTAATGTAATATATATTAGATATAGAGAGAGAGAGGGATAAAAATATACACTATATATCTATATTTTATAAAAAAATATATGAAGTGCCAAACAGGAAACTATATAACTGTGACTATGTAAATCAGAATATATAAATGTAAATCAGAATATATAAATGTAAATCAGAATATATAAATACAGGATTTTTCAGGATTTTTAAATATATTCTGATTTACATTTTTATATATCAACAGTTTACATTGATATATTCAGACTTACATATATTCTGATTTATAAATATATATTCTGATTTACTTCTGTATATTCAGACTTACAACTATATATCCTGAGTTGCATTTATATATTCAGTTTAGTTATATTATACTGAGTTACATTTATATATTCAGATTTGCATTTATATATTCAGATTTACATTTATATATTCTGATTTACTTCTGTGTAGTCGCAATTTGCATTTATATATTCAGTAGTGGTGCAACGGATCACAAAACTCACGGATCGGATCATTTTTCGGATCAGCAAAAAAAAATCTGAAAGCTTATTTTAAGTACTATACCACAACAGAAACTACTATCTTAACTAATAAAGTCAGTAAAAAAAACTAGAACAATTACACAAATTAGATGAATACAACATAACAGTTGCAAATAAAGTCAGTAACAGTAGTATTCAGGTGCAGGAATGTAATAATTAAGTGTAAAATTACACAATAGTGCTCACCGCACAAGTTAAATACAGATTAATCTCTGTTAAAGCTGTGGTGTTATTTGATTAACAGACAGAAGCAGGTAGGGATGTAAAGATTCACTCAACTCACGATTCGATTCACGATTTTGATTTCACGATTCGATTCACGATTTATTTATTTTTTACAAAATGAGATTTAAGACAAATTATAAATGAAATGTGTCCATTTATTATTGCTTTGACAAAATGCTGCACATTTCTTAGTGAAATTGAAATATAACACTATAATAATATACTAATATA